CCAAGGAAGAAGAATATGCCTGTGAAAGTCACTGTCCAGTTAGCACTCAATAGCAGATGTGGAAGTTCGGGGAAAAACAGGGCACAGAAGATACACCAAGGAAAGGGTGTTTAGGGCAGTGAAAAACACAAGATTCAAAACTGCAGAAAACTGTAGGGGGGAAACAGGTAAAAAAATGTCAAAGCTGTGGTTTTATGTCACATATCTAAGACACTTTTGGATAGCCAAAAAACTTAGGGTAAAGAGAATGAAGAGCAAAATGCAAATAGAGAGGGAGACCACAAGGCTGTTTGCCTCATTTTGATAAATGTTAAGACTGAGTTTAAGAGTCCATACAGTGTCTGATCATGTCAGTGAAGCTGCAATAGGTTAAGGGTTTAAGTTACTGTGGTTGTCACTCACCACCCCATGCCAGAAGCAATATAGATTTAGCAGTACCTCCTGTGCATCCTTTTCAATTGAGCAGTTCAGAGGATGCTTGGCACACTAGAGATTTAGAAAACAACTGAAAACTTTCTTTTCTTCCAATAAGTGTGTGAAACTCTTTGAATTTGCATTTGATGGCAGGATGTCTCGGGGACGAATCAATGAGGCTTTCAGGTTGGATGATAACACGCTGGAGTTTGTGGGCATACTTCCAACCCTGGCCGCACCTTATGAACCACCAGTCACCATCTGGTTAATTGTATTTGGGGTGGTCATTGGTCTGGTTGTCATTGGAGTTATTGCCTTGATCATCACTGGCCAAAGAGATCGCAAAAAGTGAGTAATATATTTTGATACTACGATTATGACGACTGGGAGATGTCCCAATAATTGAATCATTGGGATTCTTACAAACTGGGCTGCCAAATCTAACTGAAACAAGCTAAAGAATGAAAGCTTATTATCCCTCTCCCATCAACAGGGATAGCTAAAGGTTCAGCCCCCTGCCTTTCACTGCACGACAGCTTTGGTAACTCAGTGCAATTCCCCCATCATGAGCAGTTTAACCAAGGCAGCTGGATGCTGTGGCCACAGGGAGCTGCAGGGTGGCCAGGCTTCTGCCAACCCTGCTGCAAGGTGGATGGGATGTCCTGCTGGGAACACAGTGCCTTCTCTAACAGCAAAGTTGTCCACATTCATCAGCACCTCCAGTTTTCTATAATCTTATTGCAGGCTGTCCAGTAATGTCATTTTCCTTAAATATTATTGCATTAGCAGGAATAAAGCTTGATTGGTTTTCATGTCTCTCCATTAATAGGGTTTCCAAGAACACAGTAGTTTTACTACAGTTCCTCTTTAAAGCCAACACAATTCTTTTTATATAAATATTCCCAGTTAAACACAGTATTATTGACACTGGGGGTTGATTGTGGGTATTCAGAAGGACTTGAACAGAACAGAGACCTCTACTATAAAATGAATTTTCCTTACAGGAGAGCAAGAGAAAGTAGAGTTGAAGCAGGATCAAACCCTGAAGCAGTGAACCCTTATGCTGAAGAGGGAAAAAGCAACCTGGGCTTTGAGCCATCTGAAGAGACACAAACATCATTTTGAAAGATGTGGGTACACTAAGGGTTTCTGTTTTTTTTTCATTTCACTTTTAACAATAGTGCCTAGCAAAGGACTAAAACACTATGGGATATCTTCAAACATAATGTCTTCTGGTTGACCATTAATCTACTGATTCATGGCCAGTAGCAACTAAATCTGCTGTTTATGTGGTAACTAGAAAACATGCAAAAGTTGAAGATATATATGTCTTGTGGCTTTTCTATGAATTATGTACATAACATTACACACTCTTCGTGCTGCTTTTCATAAGTGTGCCAACTTCTCCTTGTTTCCTCTGTAATGAGATATGACAGCTTGGAAGTATATGGCTGTATAGAGATCAATACACACATGAAAATAACTCATATACTCCTGAGGAACATCTTGATCTTTCCAGATGGAGACCTCAAAAGTGGATCTGATAGGCAGTGAGGAAAAGAAAACCACCTGACCACCAGAAGAACTTTAGTGATAAAGAACTCAATTTGATATGAAATAACTGCAATTTTTGCACCTTCAAGAAATCCGTATCAATGCAAAATGGATACTGGATGAAGACTAACAAGTACTGGAACTTTATTAGGAAGTTGTAACATAAATTATTTTTCTAACTGTTTGCTTGATAAGTATTGTAGAGACCAAATAGCCCATGCTCCCTCAGAAAAAAAAAAAGTTAAAATATCGCTGCGTTATGTTGTCATTAAAAATGGAATAAAACTCCTTAATACTATATGATCAAATTTGTTGGTTTTTCTTTCTATATATTAGTCATTGCCTTCACTGCTACAAATACTGCATTACAAATGCTGCATACAACAAATACAACTGTGCTGTTACATACAAGGGGAAGTAGATTCAGGTTTGGGATGTTGTGATTGCACATGAAAAATAAAACCTGTTCACAAGGAGGACAGTGCAGCGCTTGAACAGGTTGCCTCTTCTATTCTCTAGGAGAGGTTGTAGGATCTCCACATTTAGAAGTGTTTAGAGATCAGGTCGAAAAATGTATGGCTGATGGAGCAGTGAGGATAATCCCACTGCAAGGGAGCAATTTGGCTAGATGACCTCCAGAGGACCCTTTTACTCAGGTTTTTTATGATTCTAAGTCTAAGGTCCCATACCATAGCTGCCACCTTGCCTATATGTTTTTTCTGGACACACCAGTGTGACTGAAAGTCACAAGGATGTGATAGTCCTGGATTGTGACAAAGAGCCAGTAGCAAACATGAACCTGCGCGAAAAATGTCCAGCAAATGCAGGGACTCCTAAAATCATGGGCCTCCAACATGATCAGAATCTGCAGAAAGCAGTCAAATATATATCTAAAAACATACAGTTGGACTATACAGGACCACAAAACACTATCATAATGCTCCGCATTCATTTCCTGTTTGAGACAAGACCCTTAAATGAAGCAGTTCAAAATAGTAGGCAGATGATACTGATTAACTGCAAACTAGACAGGAATGCAAAGGAATGAAAATACTTTTTATTTTAAGTTGACTACCTATACCACATATTCTATTGCCTTAATAACCCCAAACCTTAGTCCTTTAGCTGAACTTTTGAGATAACTAATTCAAGTCTATGTGGTCTTCCTTCCTACCTACTGTGCAGTAACACAAAAAGGGAATGGCAAAGCCTGAAACAATCAAATAATGCAATTAGTCATGCCATCCATCTTCAGATTGGTTGTTAAGATTAACTTTTCCATTATGACAAAGCCTTCATATCAATCCAATTAATTTTAAAAGTTGTGTTATGAATCAAAAAACACCATTCACAATTGTCAACATATAAAGCCACTAAAAAAATACAGTGGGATGTTGGAAGAACATAAATAAAAAGACAGCATTTATATGAAAAAGGTCAGCTACGTGCATTAGCCCCACCCACAGCTCACACCCTCTGTGATAGGGGCTCCCTCTGTCTCCTACTTTCTCTGTGTCTGCACTCCTTCTTAACCCTTTCTCTGGGTCAGCACTCCCTGACCCAGCCTGGTCCTCAGGCAGCATCATACCATGCCCTATCTCTCCCTCCTGCATAGCCTCCCGTGGCCCCCAGGCCTGCATAGATTCCCACAGTCATTTGCATGACCCCAAATGCTGCTTTGCCTCAAACACACACAGCTCCCCACGTAGACAAGGATGTGCTGTCCGAGCCATCTTCCAGTGCTGGGACCAGGCAGTGCCAGCAAGCACAGTTAGCTCTAGCTGGCCAGAGACCTTCATTTCTTTCTCCCCTTTCCCCCTGTGTCTGCCCCCTGGATTTCTTACTCCTTAGGTTCAGGTGAGCTTGAACCAGAGCTGCAGAGGGGTCCCTGCTAGGGCTGGGCCAGCTCCACCAGGGAAAGGGCAAGCAGGCACCACTTGGACTCTAAGAGACACTGCATGCTGAACTAGCTCAAATATAAGAAGAGAGAAAAGGATTATTTTTTTCAGAGCTTACTTTATTTTAAACCTTCTTTATTTTATACATATTAGAGCAGCGTTTTACAGCTCTCTGTGTCTAAATGCCTCTGTCATAATTATGTAGCTTCAGATGTATCTGGTATCTCTAGATTTGCTGAAGTTAGCACTAATTTTTGTACTGCTATGCACATTTGAAAGTTAGGTGTTCTTATTTAAATGCTAACATGAGGAGCCGAATTTCAGATCCTCAGTAGTAAAATATTTGGCTAAGCAATTATATTAATAGCATTTTCAGTTATCTTCAAATTTTTGCTCTTCAGGTTTTATAGCGATCAGCAAATTTACCGTTTACTATTGCAATGACTATTTTTCTCTTTTACCTGTAGCAGAAAGCAATAACACTCTAGTAGATGCCACATATGTTGCTAAATTGCAAATATCCTTGATATGTAGCTCAGAGTGAATTCCAAATCAAATGTACACCCTGAGGGCCAAAACTAAAGTCAATAATACTGGTGAGAAAACAGATATAATATTTCACCAGTGGTAATTTCTAAGTAATTGAAAGTGAGACTATATCTATTTATGTCGCTGTCACTTGCAGCAGTTCTAAGTTTGACTTCAGGTGTCAACTTCAAGTGATTATGAAGAAAAAACACATTCAGATGAGTTATGATAATCAGAAAACCTAACAAGCATGTATTTCCCTGTTTACATTACCAGTTAAGGCCAAATAATGACAGCTTGGAAGCACTGAAGGAGTGCACATAATTGGTATGTATACGTCTCAATGCCTGAGAATTCTTTTGAAAAAATGCTAACGAAATGAATTATATTCTTCCACAGTATCCTTCCAAATTCCGCCACCCACAGAGTGTCATGAAAGCTTTCTCCATATGCTTCTTGGTCAACTCCCTGATTAAATGAGAAGAACACTAATATATAGCATAATAGGCATGGCTAATGGCAGGCAGATTTCTGATGTAGCTCTTGTACAGAAGGCAGGTGATATGGAACCAGTATGCACAGTCATCTGTTTCTGAATCTTCTTTTTCAACCTCTGTTTCCTTCTCTCAATGCCTCAAAAAATGGTAAGAGCTGATAAAAGGTAGGGCGCTTTTCTGGTAGTTAAATGAAGCGAAGATGATGGATATAGTTGTTTCATTTTAAAATAATTCAAGTACTGTAATTTGCATTGGTTTCTCTTGATTTTAGCATCCAAAAATTTGTAGACAGTGATGTTGCTATGAAATTCTGCATGCTAAAATAAAATTAAAGTTACTTTTTATATATATCTTATGTTGTGATAATTTAATCTGCTTTACTTGCACTAACATGCCCTCAAATATAAGTCACTTTTCTCATTTTCCTGACAATTATATTAAAAAACCCAATAAAACATCATGGTCATTTCATGGTATCATCAATAATGTGTAAAACAGTTCTTTGTTGCTGGTGAGAAACAAGTCATGGTCTACAGACAGGTGATTAAAATTTACATGAAGAGGAACAATAAATCAGGATCATTTTTGGCACAAAAGATGTAGATCTCTCAAAATAAAATGAGAATGATCAGCATTTGACTCACAGCTCCTAGACTCATGGGTGGGGTAACACATTTCTTCTCCTTCTAAGGGCAGAGTTATTTTACACCTTACCTATCTAAAAAGGTGGAGGTCTCTTCTACATCTGCTGTTTAAGATCTCTGTATAGGAAGGCAAATATCTTTTATTCTGTGGTGGCTAAGAGAGAAAGGACAAATGACAGATGTACCAGTAATGGTCCTGTAATCATGGAAGAAATTTGGACAGTTAGTTTAGCTCAGTCACAATTTTTAATCCATTAAAATTAGGTGAGAAGAATCTCATCACGTTTATTTTGTTGATGTTGAAGGGTATTATGATTAAATACACGCTTCTGAAATGAAGTCAATCTTCCTTTATGACCTGTTTCCTGTATTGACAATTTCCTGAGCTAGATACGATATAGAATGTTCTACATACAAGCAGTGGCTTTTATAAAGGATATTTTTCCCTGTGAAATTCAGTTCAGCTGTCAGCAGGGACTCCTAGTGGTTCCTATTATTTTGTTTTCTCCAGTTTGTATGAGCAGATATACATACCTCATTCCAGCAGTTGTCCATTATCTAGCAGATGGTGTTTGAAACCTGTTGTGGTCTATAAAATCTGTATCCATGAGAAACTTTCTCAATCACTGGCATACTATATTAAAGCTCATAGGGCTGCTTTCCCAAAGTGAACACCTCCCACATTAAGACATGAAATGAAAGTCAAGTAATGCAAGGTAAGTCCCTTTTCACAGAACAAGATACACATGCAAGATACAACTGATCAGACTCAGAGAATATTGTCCAAAGAAAAGTATCGAGGTAACTGAAAAGTGTGATTCTATACACAAATGTAAAACAACTCCTACTGCAGAGGAAGATGACGCTAGGTTATAAAGTTAGCTATAAAATATATTTAATGTGGACAATGATGGACTGAATTTTTTACAGAATATGTGTAAATATCTTCTTATATATGCCTGTGTGTGCATAGAGAGGGAAGGAAAAACAAAATGACAACTACAGGTATCCATGTTTTTATAAAATAATAATAAAAAGTTTACTGTGTTTTCTGAGTGGGACATATCCCTTTGGTATCAGAAAGTTTAAAGTGTCAGCTGCACATACCTTTAAAAACTGGTTATACTGAAGCAATAGAAACACTGGATAATACCATAATCATCAATTCATAATTAAAGCTTTTCAAGAAACAATTTTGGTTGTAACTGAACATGTGTGAGACTCATGCCTACCCTAAAGTAAAAAACAAACGGTGAAATATTTATTTTAAAATGATACATAATACTAGCTGCATTTTTTTTTCTTAGAAATTTTTGGGATCTTTGACTTCCCTCCAGCTTGAAGACTGAAGCATTGTAGTGTCACAGTGAGATCAGAATAAAATGGAACATGAATCCCAGCTTTCCTTGATGAGAACATTAAAACCCCCAAGATTCTTTCTTCTTTGACATCTGCTTTTGGGATATGAATACATCAGTTCACTTTTTAAAGACTGATTAATTAATAACAACCAAACAAGAACTGACAGATCCCACTCTCCCCTTGCTTCCACTGCATCAATGGATAGTGTTAAAATGACAAAAAAATCTTCTACGGAAAAATAACATTCTCATTGAAGTTAATGCCAATATTGAAGTTAATGACAGTAAAGCCTGGGGCCAGAATTTAATCGATAAGAGCAAAAAGAAAACATTATCACCAGAAAATCCAACTTCTGATATATTTGTATAAATGTATAAACAACTTGTAAAGGGCATGAAGGAACTCTTTCTCTGCCAGAGTCATTAATACTGGGAGACTAGTTGAGGTTAAAGATAAGAAGCAGCCCAGCATTTGGAAACACTTCTATCTGCTTTATTCACCATTGTTCAATGTCAAGAACAGAGGGTTGCCAATCTTTCATCAACTTGATAGCTGCCAAAATTTTCCTGCTGGAGGAGCAGACCCAGATAAGTGGAATTCAAGCCTGTTCACAAAAGGTTCCCTTTCCTTTGACACCTTCTGCAGACTTTAAGAAACACTGAACAGACCCCAGGGATTTGTAAATCATAGCTTGAAACCACTGAAGTAGAAGTTCAAATGTTCAAAATTCCTGGCTAGAAAGTGATCTGCAAACAGATATACTTTTTGCTGAGATACAGAGTCCCAGCTCACACAGGCTGTCTCCCACAGATGGCTTATGTACAGAGTCCACTCTGACCTCTGGGACAAACAGAAAAGCCCTTTTGACTTGGGCGGCACTGATTTATGGTCTAAAGACACCAAAGATTACACTTGATCTCCACTGCCAAAATTTACTTTACTATATTAAACACATATGTAGCAAATGGGGAGTGGGCAGAGTTTCTATTTGCCTTAAAGAAAAATCTAAGGGCTAAAAAATTCCAAATAGGATAGGGCTTGTTTGCATAAAAATATTAAACAAGAACACAAGCTGTAACTGCTTTTTACAATCTTTCAGTGTGTTAAATGTCTAGAATTTCTGCTTAATAAGCTGATGAAATCCAAATGTAATGCCATATATACATACAAATTCATGTGTCAAATTCCATACATACCAAAGGCCCATACATCTGACTTCGTGTAATGAAAAACTTTGGATGCTGACCACTTCACTGGAAACTTGGTTCCTAGAGACCTTATATGCAGATCATCCAGAACATATCCACAAGACAAGAACCAAACTTGGTTGTGATTGAGTTACAGTGAAAAACTTTACTGCTTTCTTGTACACCACAATGTTCCTAAGAAAACCCTAGGCAGAATCTTAAATTTCCAAAGAATACCTCATAGAGGCATTAGCTATAATCTAGAACAGATCATTGCTACCAACTTACTAGAGAAATAACTCAGAATCATAGAAACACCTGTTGTCAGGCCATCTAGCCTGGCCTCCTGGCCTCCTGCTCAAATAGCATGAGAGCAGGTCAGCCATGACTCTGTGTTGCTAAGTCTTAAAAGCCTCCAAAGATTACCATCTTGTAGTCTCCCTGACCAGCACATTTCAGTGTTCCATCACTTTCCTGGAAAAACAACTTCTCTTACTATCCAGCTTGAAGTTCCTGAGCTGCAGCCTGTGGCCTGTATATGCTGTTATATCACCTGGCACAGATAAGACTTATTTGCTTCATTGGCTTTGTAACTTTAAGTAGTTACAGGCAGCTTTTAGATACCCTCTTATCTTCCTCTTCTCCAGGCTAAGCAGCTTGCTCCCCTCGGCCTCTTCTCAGAGGACATGCTCTGTAGGCTGCTCACCCTTGCCATTGAGGCAGCTATTAATCACTTTATCTGATTAAGCTATTTGGTCCCCAAATTAGGTGAAAACCTCATACACAAAAAAAACTTTGAGATTTCTTTACAAACATGACTAGTGAAACCTCTCAGCTGCGATTTGCCTTTAAAACTTAACTTTTTGAGACAGCAGAGTGACCCTATTCTTCTTCTAAAATGTCTTACAGTCATTAATGGAAAGGAGACACAAAGAGCTGTATCACACTCTTTGGCTTAACTTTCCTATCAGCCAGCTGATCAATACCAGTAAACTAACATCAGAGCTTTACCAGGGTCCCAGTCTCTCACTTACCGAGTCATCTTGAAGTCAGATACTTTCACAGTAATTTTGCTGTCAACCAAACAGTTCCTAGCAGCCTTTATTGGAGAAATGAGAAGAGATGAATGGAAAGAACCTAAAGAGGAGCAAATAACATCAGGTATTTGGTGTTTGCTAATAATGTCTGCCCTCTAGCATTTCAGTGCATAATGACATCTTTGATTGACACAATTAAGTTTGAAATGGTAAGGGAACAGTAAGTGGGTCTCTTGTTTCACCTTTTGACTATTGATTGAAAAACATTCTGTACCATTATCCCAGCTTTACAAATAAGGACTTTGAGGGATGAGGAAACAGAGGTGAGAAATCCACATTCACCTAGGAAAACAGCAACAGAGCCAGGAACTAAACTCTGTCTTTCAAACGGCTTCCTAACCTGGGCCCTTTTCAGTCGTCTCGGAATTTACCAAGGCATCAAAAAGTGGAAAACATTGATTGGATTATTTGCAATGCACTAAAACCAGAGTGGAGCAATGAAAGGGGACTGTAACAGCTTGATTTATGAAAAGTTCAATAGAAGCCTAGTTGTGTAAATGATCACTTGAGAACATTTATCTAAGGCTGTATTCTCTGCATGCATGCTCGTTAACTTCTGTGATACTGTTTGTATCTACAGTTTTCAATCTGAAATCAAGCTCCAGTTTTATATCTGTTTTCCCATGTTTTCCCATGTTTTCAGGAAACTGACTTTATATTTAAAACTTGAATTCTGCTACTTAATTTGTCTGATATTCCTGATTTCTGAATTGAGCTGTGAAAATTGGTGAGGTATGGATTTAACAACTGTGTTTACAAATAAAGACAATTCTTTGAAAGCATCAACAAGACAGTTAAAGTGCAACTAAACTTCCATTTCCCCATTGGAAAATGAAACAAGTCTGTAACATAAATAGTCAAAAATCTACCAACATATTTTTATCTAGAGTTAGAAGGCAAAATATTGCTACTGACTCTGAAGCACAATGCACCAGAAATTTAGTTAGGTTCACTGTTAATAGGCCAATAAAAAACCAGCTTATTTCCCCAAAGAATGGCAGCATTCTTGAAAGGTAAGTTTTGCATAAATTTTAGGTACAAGTCCATGAAAGGACTGATCCCCTAATCAAAAGCAACTTGAAATACTTGCTTGAAATCTGGCAGATAAATGTATTTTAAAGAGCTGGGCAGTTGCAGACTTTCAAATTCTCTTCCTGCTTATAATGCATCAAATTCCAGTTTATCCTAGTAGTGTTCACACTCGTTTTATTCTAGCAGAAATAGTTCCCAATTAGATAAATCCCTAACTCATTAGAAACAATGTAAGTGACCCAAATCTTTAACATTGCATTTCTTTCTCCTGGAGGACTACAGCATCATTGGACAGAACCCTTTATTTCAGTGGGCAAATTTTCCAGTTGGATGTCTGTGCTGTGTACACATTAATCCTTGAGCCCAGAGCCCATAAATGCAGGCAGCACAGTATGCAGTGCTCTAGAACCTGTCAGCTCTGCCCTGAAGCAGAGCACATTAGAGTGTATAATAGCCTGAGTTGGAAGGGACCCACATGGGCAGTGCTGTTTACATGTGACTTTAGTGCTGCTTCTCCAGAGCTGCCTTGTATTGAGCCAGCTTTGTGTCTCTGTTCAGCACACCACAATGCTTTTTGGGGTGAGTGCCAACAGAGCCAGTGCATCTGTGGCTGATACTGAGGCGTAGAACTGACTAATGTCGGGTCATGCCCCTGCCTTCCCTGTTCCGCTTCTCCTGTGGGATAGATTACCAAGTCTCCATGTATGAACTGACAGATCTCCAGAAATGCCATAGCATCACAAACATCATAACATACTTTCAAAAAAGCTAAAGGGTAGGAAGGGTTCCTTTCCATGACTCCTTAGGTGGCTGATCAAATAGTCAGTCACTAAATAGGCAGGATATAATTTTGAGCGTACATTGTACAGTCTAAAGTGTTTGGGATTATTATTAATTTTCCTGAAATAAAGAAAAAATAATTAATAAATAGATATTACTGTACATTTCTCTAAGTTTTGTTCTTCAAATATCAATATAATGTATTGAAAGAAATTATTGAAACTGGATACAGTCCCAGCTCAGCCTTCAAATACTCCATTTCAAGAAGGACTGAGTGTCCTTCTTATTATTATTTTGAAACTTGGTATTGATGACAAACAAAAGTATTGATGAAAAGACAGTATTGTAGCCAAAACCTGAAATAGGATTTAGCAGCACAAAAGTGTGGCCTTACAAAATTTTCACATTCAGAATCCAGATCCTATCAACTAGTTAATTGTCAGGAATGTAGTGCCTTCTTTCAGGATACAGGATATCCAAAATATTCTTGAATTCATATGCTTCAACTATCATCTTGTGGGACTTCACTGGAAATTCTAACATCTTTAACTCTTTGGAGTCAGAGACTGAAACTTCAAGTCCCATGGTTTTGTTTCTGGTGTTTCCTGGTTATTTGTCGGTCTCTCATTCCTACCTGTGGGATCTCATTCCTGCCTGTGGGATTGCAGGAACAGCTTTCTAACTGTTTATGTATAAATGCTAATGAAGCATAGTTTTACGTGGCATATGTGAAAGCTCTGAAATTATGGAAGAGATGTTAATTGAAAACTTTGTAGATGACCCTATTGATCTTTGAAAGTTCCTTTGATAATACTTCAAATATCCTTTGTGACTCCTTTTAGCCTGTTTCTAATGTACTCACCATTACTTAATGCTATTTTTAAGAACTCTTTCCTGTGTGTGTTATACATTACTGATTAATGTTTGGAGAGATCATTATTTCCAAATTATTAAGCAATGCCATAGCTTACATCATGGCCTGAGCTTCTATGAGTTCATCTTCTGCTCCCTCTTTAATCCTCTTTATAGCCACTTCATATTTTTCCTTCCACTTTCCCTGAAGCACCACTCCAAACTGAGCACTCTCTAGCTCTCTCAACAGGACAATTTTTTCTCATTTCAACTCCCAAATTCCTAGTGGGAAAAAAAAATCCTTTAGTGAAAAAACAACAAACAATGGACAAATGCAGGTGCAGCATCCCTCCCAGGCAATGCTGTTTTCCCTGGAGAGTTGCAGCACTGGAGTAACATACCTGTCTCTCAGTTTTGTGTTTGAGTTATGGAAATTTCCTAAGAGTGTTGTTTGCTAGTGCTTAAATTTGAGCTTACGTCTATAGATTTATGCATGAAATCACAATGTGTTTTCATACAGGATATTGGAGAGCAAATATTAGTGTGCCAGGTGATGTGGCAAAGGGAAAGAATGGCCATGGCTCAGATGGGCTGGGGAAGGAACCTTGCAAGGACTTGCACAGTTGACATAAGACGTGGCATAAAATGCCTTAAAAAGGGCACAACATAAAAGCTGCTACAAAATGCCTTTGTACAAAATGCCCTGAATGTGGACAAAATGCACTTGTAGGAAGGGATACACTATTTCATAGAACCATAAAATCTCAATGTTACTCTCTGCAAGAGAAAATTTCAGAAGGAACTATTGACTGAAAGACCAATTTCACCAAATTCTCCCATTGCCTCTTGCATGGACAAGCAGAAATGGCCACCAAACAAAGATTCTGTAACCTCCTGACTGTAACTGCAAGACTGAAAGCAGTGAGGGTCATTGTTCTCTGGTTATTCTTTTCTTGGCGGCCAAGACACCAGTTTCAAAAAGGAAAATTATCTTCATACAATTTCCTGATGAAGCTGTGGTTGGGACCTTATTTACTTTTGTAGATACTGCATGCTGGAACCTTGTCACATATTTATAAAGAAAAACTGTTAAAGGTCACAGTATATACATGGGTTTTCTGAAATAAAAGAAAATAAAGGGAAACAAATACCTCCCTCTCCCTACCATATTACAACCATCCAGGTAATGACAGAGAGTCAATATTCAATATTCAGCAGCCGCTGCATCGTGACACCAGATTGAAAATTTTCTGTGCTTAAGGGCTGTTTCAGCAGATGGGGTAGTTCAATACCAAAAAACCATTGTACAGCAAAGTTAAGCAACTACATTGATTGTGAATATGTTAGATCAAGTTACACCTAAACTCTCCCAAAAGATGGTTCAGTATTTGGAACGTTCAGTATTGGAAGAGATTCACCATAATGCTGAGAAGGCCAGATGCCTAAGCCAAAACCAATCAAGTAGAAAGAGTCCATAGGATAACTGGTGAAGTTGTGCTGATGGTAGTCAGTTTAGGAATTGATTCAAAACAATAATTTTCAGCAAGGTAATACTTGTGCTCAGGGGTTTTATACACATGTAATATTTGACTGTTCCTTTTTTACTTATTAAAAACATCACAATATGCAGTATATGTCAAGACCTTGCAAAGTGCCTTCCAGTCCAAGTGTTAATAGATTAGTTGTCATGAGCTGCAACACTTCAACTGGCCAAATAACAAAATATGTAGTAAATGTCTCCAGGAAAATTGTTACATTTGCCTCAACCTACTTTCCTCTCCTTAGCCCCCCCTGGCTATGCAGTACAGGCTCAACCCATTGGAGACTTCTGTGATACACTTTAATGTAGTCTGATGGTTAGGACTTGTCTCCCAACAGTTACATCTTAAACAAAAGACTTTCATATTCTGCCCCTGCAATAGTTCTTACATCCAATTTGGAACATCTTCTCTTCCCCTACTCCTTCCCATTCCCTCTCCCATTCCCTTTTCCACTCTCTTCCTTCTCTCTCACACTTGAATCTCTGCTGTTCCCCTGGATTACGTGCCTGTTACACGGCATTGTTCAGATGAGAAGATTCTGGACCTCTGTTGCCCCATTCAGGGAGCCACTGGGTTCATTTTTTAACACAATGTAGAGATTGTTGTTGACCTGTCACAGCAAGCAGCATGTCCATAGCATGCTCATAGAAATGTGACACTTTCTTGGGATATCCTCTCAGGAACCTTGCTGAATACAGATGTAATACACATTCCTGCTTTGTAATACATTTGGCTAAACTTCAAAAGATAAAAGCACCTTCTTTTCCCCAGTTAAATAAAAAAAAAAATTAAAAAAAGAATGAATAATTTCCAAGAAGCAACAAGGTTGGGATTAATTTCAGTGAACTTTAGCCTTTTACACTGTAATGTCCAGAAAGGAGATATGACTCATCTGAACTCCTTTAAGGACTTCATTAGAACAAGATGAATAATGCATGAGAAATCTTTCTTTCCAGTAAAAAGAGGGTTTAGGTAACAGGTTGTGGTATCCCACTATAAATATTTAAAATTAGGTGAGTTCTACTCCAGCCCAGACATGAAGCCAGTCATCTGCAATTCTGTTTTGGTGCAGATTTATAACTGGGGAGATTGAGAGTTGTTAACCCCACCTCCTTCCTCATGTCCCTTCCAGAGGCTCTATGTGTCATAAGACCCTAACACTGACACACACATTTCCTATCTGAAAAAGAGTTCTACCCACCACACTCAGTTCCTTTACATGAAGAATTAGACTGATACATTTTTTATTGCCAAAGTATTTCTGCATTACTGAGCAAATAAAAAGATTTTCACTGCACTCTATTATAGTTGCACTATTTTTAGTCTATGTGGTACTCCAGTCTTAACTTTTACTCTCCAGTTTTACTTCTCTTAATGATTACCATACTGGGCTGGAAATTCTGACTTTCAGAGTTCCTTAAACAGCTACACCTCTATATTGCAGGGAGTAAAGGAAGACATCTAGAGGTTCACTGCTGTGAAGTTTGAAGGAAATTTCCTGTCCCCTAAGTTAACTGGACTAAGTGTTATCCAGCACACTTGGGGACTGAAATACAACTGCCTTTCTCCAGAGTTCATCCACACCTGAGTTCCATTCCTGAACCTATGGTGCAGGTCCAAGGGAAAGGACACTGAGTCAAGGCTCCCAAAGGATCATGTTCCATCAAAGTTGTTAGTGGCTGGGTACCGATAACCCTGAGTGTGAGAAAGTAGCAAGCCACAAGAGGAAAATGTTTACACAGCACATCCAAGAGGAAAAAATGTGTGAGGCTGTGTCTCCTCCAGGAAAGTATATGGACAAGTATTTCCGCAGTCATCTGATTGTACCCCTGACTATGGTGCTATCCATCCTGGCTCCTAGTCAGCTGCATCCAGTCAAGACTCAGTGACTGCATCCAGTCAAGACTTCCTGTCTGGGTGAGCTGTAAAACCACCACTGAGGATTCCTCTACACTCACCTACAGAAAAAGCCGCACTGGAGCAAACAACACAGGACCAACAAAAGGGAAAAACAGAGCTTTGAGGGGAAATGCACTCAGTGTGGCTTTATTCCAAGCCTATTTTAGAGGTGAGTCGTTTGCTCATTTATGTGGAAGAAGCATTCTTTGAAATCTGTTTATCCATACCAAGTTAGGACAAGGATTTCTAGCACTTTATAATACTACAGCTATTTGAAGAGCATCAGCATCCTCTAGCTACACTGTATAGCAAAGACAACAGACACAGAAACATTTCTGTGGTTGTTGATATACAAACAATAAGGGATGTGTAGGACTTTCAGACAGAGCAGCTACTCAGACTGGGCACAGGAGATATCAGCATCCCAACTATAAAGAGAAATATTGGGTCTGTTATTCACAGGCTGGTTTCTGAATAAGATTCAGCAGACATATGAAAAATCCCAGCATTGTAAAAACTGCTTTTTAAAGTCAGAGGATAGACTTGGGACTTGTCCTGTATATGTAATTATAGGCCATGAGATAACAGGGAAACCGCTAGTTCCCATCTGCTTTTTCTCGTCCAGTGGCTCTTGTTGCCCCAAAATAGCTGGGTCTACTCTGTAACACTGACTTTTTACAATAACTCCTTAGAGGAGGATCCCACTGCCTAAAGTTCTGCCAGGAGCTCTATCAGTAGTTTGCTCTGTCTCATGCAAACCATGACGTAGTTGTCTGCCCAAAAGCTGGGAGGTACATAATTCTCCTCTAAATTTGAACCTTCTGTTTTCATAATATTTAAGTAAACTGAGAGTTCCCCGATGGATGAAACAAGCCAAATGTGCTTTGTCAGATCAGTTCAGGGAGTACCAATGAAGTCTGTTTCAATAGAGTTCCCTTTTATGAAGCATTACTTTAGCATACAAGAGGCTGATTTGTCTAAATGACTTTTTTTTTTTCTCTGAAAGTAAATATATTTATACCTTCAGAAGTCTGTGGGAGGTGATATTGCTGATGAAAATACCTATATTTATTATAATTATTATGACGGTCATATGTAGGATACCACTGCTGCAGGTACAGTGGACATGTAGGGTGGAAAGACAATCTCTGCCCAAAGAATCTTTTGGTTCTCAAGAAGACCTGTTCTACACGCTCACTTATGCTTGGCAATACTCTGCTCTTCTGCCAATGTCTGTTTGCTGACACTGGAGTTTTCCCTGCAAAGACAAAACAATATGATAAAACTGTGAAAACCCAGTGGCCTTTCAATACTTCAGGGGCTTATAAGACAGATGGAGACATACTTTGTACAAGGCCTATTGTAATAGGACAAGGAGCAATGGTTTTAAACTGAAAGTTGGTAGATTTTGACTGGACACAAGGAAGATATTTTTCACGGGGAGGTTGGTGAGACACTGGAACAGGTTGCGCAGAGAAGTTTTGGATCCCCCATCCCTGGAAGTATTCAGTCATGTTAGATGGGGCTTTGAGCAACCTGATCTAGTGAAAACCGTCCCTGCCCATGGTAGGGACTAGATGATCTTTAAGGTCCCATCCAACACAAACCATTATAAGATTTGATGATTCTATGAAAAATTCCTTCCTTGGGTTAAAAGTCATGCTACATGTATTTTTTGAGTAGCTATGCTGTGGTCTAAGATGAGTATTTAAAAAATGTGAGACATATGTAATTTTCTGGATTTTTTAATCACTTGGTAAATACTTAAACAATCTTTCTCCTCCACTGTGCAATGTGTTAGAAAGCCAAATATTCTCTGTGCATACTGTAACAGGCAATGAAACTACATATGCCTTTAGTGACCTTATGCAGAGATTGCATCTACATTTTCAAAATGTACATGGAAACTTTCCAAAACTGCACAACCCTAGACTTTACAAATAAATGTTCTTAGCATGAGAGACAACAGGAGTCCATATGGCAGAAAAAGAAACCTCTAAAATAACCTCTTGTACAGAAATAATGATGATTCTTATTTATGGTTCCTTTCACAGAATACTATAAAAGTAGAGATTTTTTAAGGAAATCTCTGAATCTTGTCCAGTATGGTTTATTATGATAAAATATGTTATATTTCTGTGAATTTTTCATTCAAATAGCTTGGCATGCATTTAATGCTTACAATGTCACGTCATCTTACTAAAAAGGGAAATATATATCTGATGTCTCACTTTGACAGACCTGGACTCCCTTTATCCTGTACCAGACTACTCACAGACATACAAAGGCCCAGGAGTGCTAGGAAGGGTGATTTAATGCTGAAATAAAAGTACAAAAATTGAAATACCAGCGTCAGTGAAGTCAGTGACAAAACCCTTGACTTGATTTAAATGAAACCAGTATGTTTTTCACATGAATGTATGAGACAAGAAGACAAATTGTATCTGATTTTATACATTTCAGGAAACCTTATGCTTAGTACTCAGAATGTTATTGAAAAAGAAAAATAATCCAGAAAAACTGCCTAATCTTTGCTAGGTTAGTGTGGAAAACATTTAAGGAGTGGATGGCTGCGTATTGATTAACCTGGGCTTATCATCATTCAGAAACAGCTTTCTCAAGTAAGTGCTCAATACAAATCCTTTATTCCCACAAAACAAATAGTTCACAGTTTAGCTATTGTACATGACTGCATCTTAAATTTGGTCACTTAGGAAAAGGGATTAAACGGAAAGTCACTTTTCAGAATGCCACTAACAGAAATGCTCATGGTTAAAACATTCCTGCTTTTACTTACCACGCAGAAAAACACAGAAGCAATTTGTTTGAGAAAATTACATTTCAGTGGAGTACTCTTTCTGCTACTCATTGAAATGGTTTCTTCCTCCGTGGTTGGTTTCATGTTATGGAAGGTTGGAGCAGCTGTTCAACAATATCATTACATTCTGTCTCAGTCGCTGTGATGAAGGATGCCAGAGACTAATGGATGCCAGCAAACTGTCCAAGATCGAACACAGAGTCAATAGGCAAGCTCAGCACTCTTCCTGACACAATGCCAGATGAAACTGAGAAGCTAAACTAAGTGAACATGGACAGCTGAGCTACCACTTACAGCATGGCATGATGGATTAAGTTATGGGGGCCAACAGACATCTGTAGTTGTAAGGTGGTGGGCTGTATGTTGTGCCTATCAGAAAAAAAACCGAGAGAAATAAATTGTATATTTGAGTACGGATGGACAAAGAAAGGAATCTTTAACACAGATCTCAGTAGCAGAAGAAGAAAACTGAGAGTGCATTAAAACAGGAGAAATATGACTCCTGATATTTGTTCCTGTTACATTCAAGAAAGGAAGATCTTCGTTCTTTTTTTCAAGCAGAATTTAAAGCTTTTGTTAAGATGTATATGTAACTTGTCCTTACAGAAGCAATACTGCAAAAGTCTCAGTTTCTCAACCCAAAGGGAAAAACCCGTAAATGTCCCTCCTTTTTCTAGATTCCCTTTGCTTCTTTATTCATGATAGAGCCCTCTGCTCAGGCTCTATAAGAAGAGCTGCCTGTATTGTAGGTTTTTACATAATCATAAGTGAGGGCATTCAGGTCCATATCTCAGCTTACCAATTTACTATTTTCTTCAAGTTGCTGGGGTTGTGTGCTGCTTTCTTCATCCAGAACAGTGTGTGATCTCCTTAGTTATAAATTGCAAACACTTTATGTCAAGTTAAGGTTGCTTTATTTGTTGATTTTCTTACAGTTGTAACAGTAGATAAGTAATTTCAGTCTGTTCCAAAGTAATTTGGGCATCCCTATCTCAAAAATTCTTCCCTTCTACACTTCTATCAAGTACATAAAATCAAACTCATCTAGTATTAATCATGAGACAGACAAGGAATCTTATCTCTTCCAGACAACTCCTGTTTGTTGCACTGCCTTCACCTCCAGTACCTCCTAAAACCATTTCTCATTTAATGACTTGGGAAGAGGTGTTTTTTTTCTGCTCCAACTTGATATTAATGAAAAATATCTTTGGTTGCTTAAGAAGATTTCTCTGCTTGTAAAACTCAAAAAGAATAATTAAACCCTATGCAGGATGGGGCTGCCCTGTCTTTGTGCAAAAGTATTACTAAAGCTGAGGAGAGACCGAAGTGATAAGGGCTTTGCACTGCAGCACTTCACACTGGTCTCCCACGGTGTCACTGCTATTGCAACTGTGATGGTGGTGGTCTAAAGAAGGTTTGTGCATACACGAGAGACAACATTTGTTAGGAGAGATTTTATCTTTTTGTCACTTAAACTAAATACTGAAAAAAAAAATGGATAGCTTCTGTGTACACAAGCCCTTCTTCAGGCACATACAAAAATTAAGGCCACTGAATACTATCTTAGCTATTATACTAGGCAGTGACTGCTGTAAATTTTATTCAACCTGCCAGCCAAGGATGGTAATGAAAATGGAGTTGTACAGAGACAACGAGGCTTTTAGAGTAATGTTTAAAAGTTACCAAGGTAATTCTAACATAGATCCTGAAAGATGCCAGGACTGCCTGCAGTCTTGTCTTCAAAGATGAGATATGTGGAAGACCACGATCATGGAACAAAAGCATTCTGCAGGGCATACTTACCCTTCCCAATCCATTATTTTCCACCAGTCAGAATATTTTTCTTGTGATACACAATATTTATTGCTTCTGACAAGCTGGATAGCTGAATTACCTTCAGGTTTGTAGTTGCCTTGGGCCACAGCCACATTCGGGACTGACTTCTCTGGTGATAGTCTCTGGGGCAGGCTTCCACGCTTCCGTTTTTGAAGACAGAGGAAATAAATGATAAGGAGATAAATGATAAGGAGATGTAGAACAGGCTACAGTAAGAAATAACACATGGCATTTATGTAATCAGTTATATCTTGAACATTTATAGTGATATTAGGCAAATTAATCAAAGTTCAGAAGCTCAAGGCACAGACAGGCAGTTTTTTCTCATCCATTTAAAAGGACAGCCTAGACACTGTTGTCCACATTTGAGAGACAGGTGAGAACAGAGCCAAGTTCTGTGATAATGACACTAGCAGCAATTAACTCTGAGTGGAGGCTGACACTGCTGTAATAGGAAGCTCTCATTACCAGAATTACATGATAGACCTGACTTGTATCAAAATCCTGACACCTCTCTGAAGCTGATACTACTTAATGAACAGTTGCAATTCCTGTGCTTTGGACACCACTTGACCAAGTTGTTTTTTACTGTAACTAATGTCCTGTTGTATCAAAAGATCCCATCACAGTATTTTAAAAATAACTTTGAGGTTCTTTTTAATGGTTTTTGATCAATAGTAACGTTACCATCAAGCACAACAAACATTAGTCAACTGTTACTACTAATCACTGAAAGCAAAATAAAAGCTATGCTAATTCTAAATTATTCCTTTTTCCTAACATACTTTTTTGATGTTTCTCAGCTAAGCATGTTGGATATATGTAATCTCACTCCTTGGTGCCTCACTTTCCCTGTGGAGAGCTGAACACGTGTAGGTATGCAACCACGGGATTCATCTTATCAGGTTTTAACCCATGTCTTCACGTGAAATATGTCATCCTACAGGAGTGTCTACCTCTCATCATGGGTTGTTGAGGATGTCTGCAAAATTACTTGGATGAGAAGCCTGGCATTAAAATTAGGTGACAACAATCAGATCATGGACAGAAGAGTATCTAAAATTAAGGCACTGAAATGTGTTTAGAAATCAGGGAATGTCATAACTGAGAAAATCTGGGCATCACAATTCTTTATTAAGAGGAGAGAAAGATACACTTGAAACACTGACAACTAAGGATGAGGAAAAATAAAAATGACTTATAAGAAAAGGCTGCAAATGGCACCTATTTATTTACGTATTACTGAAAACCACTGTAATTCAATGCCAGTAAATAATGGCAAGTGTCCTGAAGCAGGCTATGATTCCTTTAAATCAAGTCCAAGTGACCATGTCATTGTGTGTTTACTTGTTTTCTATATATTGGCATTCCTTAATTTAAGCAAGAAGAAAACATAGAACCACCTTATTAAATCCACTGAGCCAGAAGACATACATGATCTCTTCTGCACACACAAAACACGTCAATCTGAGCTCCATTCCTTGAAGAGGTGTCAGTCACAGAAGAGTCCTCTTCATTTGACGAGAAGTAGTTCTGTTATACTTTTTGGTGCTTTCTATTGGCTGTATCTGATTTTAGTGGAGAGAAGCTTATAGTTTGATGGCCTGAGTTAGGCAGGATTCTGGTTTTACACTATCCATTTGCTTTGTGGAATAATGACAGAACTATAGTTGCCTGCAGATTTCAGAAAGATGGGGAAAAAATATAGTACAGAGATTAAACTCTTCTCTCTTTAGAGCATCTAGTGATGTTAGAGCAAACTGATATGCAGTAACATGCTTATGAGCTGGTGTGTACCTCTGACATTTGATCTTGGTAATTTTGGAGATTAAATTGCTCCTTCATTTCCTGAATTTTTTTTTTAATTTGTTTGGGTTTTTTTGTTTGGTTTGGTTTGGTTTGGGTTGGGTTTTGTTTGTTTGTTTGAGTTTTTGTTTGTTTTGTTTTGTTTGAGTTTTTGTTTGTTTTGGTTTTTTTGTTTTTCTGTTTTTTTGTGTGAAGTGATCAGAGTGCCATCCTCTGATGGAGCTGTCATCTTTTTGGGTGAACAGAAGAAACTGCAAAGCACTGGCCAAAATAAATGAATTATTATCATGGAAATTAATTTTGCTTTGTCCAACCTGCCAGGGAAAATAACCAGTCCAAGCTGAGCACATCAGGTTTGTGTTTCACTGCTGGATGTATATTTAACTGTTGCAATATTTTAGACAGACTTCATCTGTAATCTGGTGGAGATTATTATCCTGATTTGTGTCCATACATACAGCTTTCCATGTCCAACACTGGCTGAAAGCCCCAGAACACTTCCTAAGAGTAACTGAGTGGATCTTATTATTTCCATTATGCTGGCAGTGATATTTTTGTGGGTTTTGTATTGATGATCGTGTCACTATCATCTAAAGAGAGCCATAGGGGATGATCTGAGGTTCAGCTGTGATGTGCACATGAGGAACAGTTCCTATCTGCAGAACTGTACCCCTATCATATGGCTGGAAGCATGTGCTAAATCACTTCAGCTCCCATAAAGCTTGTCCAATACATACTAACGAGAGAATATGTGTGTGCACTCAGTGATCTTCCATCTGATCTACTGCAGTGTTGGTCTGACCTACGTGAGCCATTTTCCAGTGCAAAGACAGTGGATGTCAGGCACCAGCAGAGGTGAAAGTATTTCTCAGGCAGAAAGCTCCTGCTTCCTGCTGTTATCAAAGCCAAGAGGAAGTGCCCTCTGCTTCCCATGAAGTGACCTTTTGTGCCCAATATTCCTTATAATGGCATCACGCTTCAGGAACCAGCTCCTCTGTGGGAGACTAGAGGTATAATGGTGAACTGATGAAAGAAATAGAGGTATCAAAGGTGCAGGACATGAGTGTGCAAAGGTAATGCCTCATGCAAAAGTAATATCTCGAGTCAGCTGGGAAGCAAGAAGGGAGAAAGCCTTGCAGAGGCTGGAGAGGTGAGTGACATGAACTGAGGTAGGCAGAAAGAAGGCTGGGGGCATGGTGATACCTCTGATGATCAAAATGAGTACATGAAAGGAAAAGTAAAAACGTGCTGAGAGCTTATAGAAGCAGTTCTGTGACTAAATATAGACTGTTCCTCACTGTGAGAAGTCAGTATTGGCCTTCTTAACCTGATCGTATCATATGGCTTGGGAAAATGAAGTCAAGTTGTTCTACCCAGATGTGGTAATTATATCTTCATTTACTGAACCTCTTTTAGAAGTACCCATCGGAAAACTGTTGTGCCCTGCTTTTTAAATTTCCTCTTCAAAATATGTTCTCTGAACTGAAGCACATAATAAAAAAAAATCATAAAGGCTTAACGGAACCCAGAATGTTCAGCAGCAGATTTGCATGACTGGTGATCTCTCCATATAGACAAAGCATCTCCTGATGAAACCCAGGCATAACAGACCATGATATTCAAAACAAGTTATGCTGCTGCGTGTTCACAATGCTATTGCTTTCAAATCTGAACATCAGAAAAAAAGTCAAAGTCTTCTTTGTTCCTAGCTTCTTTCCAAGGGTTTATTATTATTTTTTCTTAAAGCTCCATTGCATAGCTCTTGTGATTTGTATCTTCTGTCTCTTGTCAAGCTATGTGTTTCTTAAAGCCCTGGCTGTTCATATTAACTCCATACATAAAATTCGAGCTTTTCTTTCTTTTTCCTTTAAGTTACTTTCTGATTAACAGAGAGAAACTAGGAAATAGATCCAGATCTAAAGATATAGAACAGAAGACAAAATAAAGCAGGAAATATGGATTTAAAAATCTCATCATTTGAAACACAATTTGGTTTAATTTGTTAGAGGCTGTGTAACAATGTGTGCATACACAGTCAGACCATACTGCTAGTCCTTTTTTTTGAGAGATAAAAATATCATAAAAACTCACACCACTTTGGTGGCTTCTCTTGTCATTGTTGTTGTTACCTCCTTCCCACCTACAAATGCCAATAATTAAGTTGGGCAGTAAAACTAAGGTCAGATGTTGCATTTGTCCAGGAGGAGATAGATGAGCAAATAAACATAGAAGTAGATCTTCCAGTTTACTTTATTCTTAACCCTGACAACTCTTGACCTTCTTTATCAAGCAACTGCTGTGCTAGAGGACTCAGGTTGAATTGAGCACAAGTAGTACTTTTTGTCATCCTGATGTCCTGTTTGTCTCTTTAGGTCTGTGAAAGCCTGCCTTTCTCAGATGGACAGTAAGGCCCAGTGGGTGCTGATGGGACACCACACTCTTGGTTTTCTGTCTGATATAAAGATATAAGCAGGAGCACATAAAGAGCTCAGAAACACTTTCCAGTTCATTACCTTAGAGGCTGCCTCTGGGAAGCTGGGCTAAACTGACATTCCCAAATAGATATCTGACCTCTTGACCCAACCCCAGAGCAGCACAACTTGGGACTTGCCTGAGAAAAATGCAGTTCATCACCATTTCTCACCCAGGCAGAGCAGGTGTATCTGTTCATATTGTCAGTTACCATGTTTTCTCAAGCACTGTTTTCACCGAGGAGGGTGGTGGAGGGAAGATCTAGGATCTCCTGGAATGGGGACCTCCTACACACTAGATAGCTAATTTTATTGGTATTCCCTGATCCCACTGGACATAAGACTTTTACTTTATAGACGCTTCTACAATGGCTGACATAAAGAGAGTTTGAAGGACTGGAGGCAGTGGTTTCACAGACCCAGTTGTACAACACAGAATCCCATCTAGAAGAGAGGAAGACTTAAAGAAAAAAAGCAGGAATTTAAGTAATACTTTACCTCTTGAGGTTGTCTCTCTTGCAGATTTATACAGTGGCAGCAACAGCACCATGACAGCTGACATTTCACCTCCCTGAGGTATCAACATACTTTAACTCTGTATTTTCCAATCTTGTTTTAATTTAAGCACCATCTCAATATCTTTACAAACCCCATCAATATTGTTTTCATTTATGCAAAAAATAATCCATGGAAATTTGCAGTTGCATTTAGCTCTGTGGTTTTCCCAGTTTATTTAGAATCATGGAACATTTTAGGGTGGAAAAGACCTCTGAGATCATCAAATCCAACTGCTAACCCAGCACTGCCAAGTACACCATTAAACCATGTTCCTAAGCACCACATCTACATGCCTTTTAAATACCTCCAGGAATGGTGACTCCATCACTTCCCTGGGCATCCTGTTCCACAGCTTGACAAACGTTTCCATGAAGAAATTTTTCCTAACATCCATCTCTACACCTCTCCTTGTGCAACTCGAGGTAATTTCCTCTCACTGTGTCACTTGTTACCTGGGAGAAGAGACTCACCCCCACTTGCCTACAAGCTCCTTTCAGGTAGTTGTAGAGAGTAATGAGGTCTCCCTTGAGCCTCCTTTTCTCCAGGCTAAACAACCCCAGCTCCCTCAGCTGCTCCTCATAAGACTTGTGCTCCAGACCCTTCACCAGCTCCACTGCCCTTCTCTGGACATGCTCCAGCACCTCAATGTCCTTCCTGCATCAAGAGGCCTGGAACTGGACACAGGACTCGAGGTGCAGCCTCACCCGTGCCCAGTACAGGGGGACAATCTCTTCCCTGGTCCTGCTGGACACACTGTTGCTGATACAGGCCAGGATGCCATTGGCCTTCTTGGCCACCTGGGCACACTGCTGGCTTGTGTTCAGCCAGCTTCTACTTTGTTGAAGTTTTTCTCATTGGCACTTTTAGTCTATGAATCAAGACATTATTAAGAAATACTTCTTTCAGTTACCCAGTGGTCACAAGTTCAAGGCTGTTTGGATCCATCCCGACAGAAACAGTCTCCCTGTGCTCTATGCATCTCTGTTAGCAACATCAGGAACTTATTTAGGAACAAATTTAGAGTAGATGCAGCACATTATCATGCATGTTGTTATCTGACATAAACAAAGAGTTCAATATACAAAAATTCTCTTTTTAGGTCTTCTCCCAACTAAGCCATCCATGACTGGTAATAAGGTATTTTCTTTGTCCTTGCAACTGGCTGGGGGTTTCATGGCTCTTTTGCTGCTGTGACAAGTGGTTTTGAAGCTACATGAAGGTGTTCAAATTAGTGTTACAAATCAGTTGATAATTCTGTACATTATTAAGTGTTCCATAATGATGAAACCTGTGGTAGTAGTAGATAAGCCTTCATGATTAATTTAAATTTTCAAAACAAATGCCTGATACAGGCAGTCTCACAATTCTAAATTAGGTTCCTGGTTGCTCACATCTACATTTTTGGATTAATTTTTAATTTTGGGTTCATACTTTTTAATTTTTGACTATAAATTACTAAGACCAAGCTTTAAAAAAATCAAGCCTTAAAAGGTTGAAGCCCAAACACTCATAAACTACTGTTCCCTCTACCAAACACGGTCTTTCACTGTCAAGTATGTACACAGATATGAGAGAATTCCCTTCTGAAAAAGTTGCACCTAGGAGGGTACTATTGTACAAATTTTCCTGTCTCAGTCTTTACAGATAAAAACTGAAATCCTGCAATAATTGCAACTAAATTCTACAGAAAATATTTCAGGAAAACATGTTATAATAAATTATGCAAAAGAAATAACATTGTTTAGAGAAAATATATTAATATAAGACTTAGCTTGTAAAATTGTATTGTTTTACACTCATCCATATATTCTCTTGTGCTGAATTTCTATTATCGCTACCCACTCAGCTTATGGGACATAATCACTAGAATGGTCTTACAACAAAAGACTAGAATTTAGCTAGAGATATTAAGAATAAAGACAAAAATAATTTCATCTAGTTTATTTTTTAGGTAAAAACATCACTAACTTTTTTATCAAATACAGCAGATATAATTTAGTGTATTATTTCCCCCAGTTATACTGTAAACTACATTGTATAGCAGCTATGATGTTAAAAGAAGCTTAGCACATACATGGAAAGGTGTAAGTATAAATATAAATAATATAATTATGTACTTTCTTAATCAAAGTATCCTAAAGAAAAGCTGCAGAAACAAAGGATGGCATCAAATATTTCCGGATATTCCCATTATCTGTGTACAAAAGACCTTAGAGTCCACATGTAAACTCTTTCTTTCCACTACAGTTTTTCCATGTTCATCCTCCAGCTTCTGGCTTGTTTTACACCAAGCTTGTGTTACTCCTCACCCAGTCCAGGAGCCTGTCTCTGACAGCATCCACTAACAAATACTGAGGCAAAGTATATGCTCAGGGCAGCTGTACAGAATCAGAGAATCCTGATCCAAAGGTGATGCAGTTATACCTAATGCCCTTTGAGAGGTATATTTCTTCTGTTAATTCATTCAGTTGCCTTTTTAAACAAATAATTAGTATCTATAACATCCCTCAGTAAGTAGTCCTACAGCTTAACTACCCAATATGGATAGTCAGCTTGCTTTGCTATCTTCCTATCTTCCTTTGATGCCTACCGAATAATTACTAACATCTGCTTTGCTTTTTAGATCTTGTTTAGTACTGGGCTGACTCTGTGTATGTGGCTGTGTTAGGTTAGGGTTTAATTTCCCTTATGTACATTCTTTTCAGTCATCTCCACTGAACTCTGAATTGCTTTTGTTATTGCTTTTGTTTGTTAGCCCAAAGAGCTCTTGTTATTAAATGTTTACTCTCACTGGTAAGTACACACATCTGATCAATTTGCTTCCTGTCTCCTTATTTAGTTAAATGATGGAGCCCTGTGAGCTTTTCTCTTTACATGTTATCCACCCATCTATTAGTCATTGTCAAGTCTCTCCTTTGACCTCTGTTCAGCTTACAACATCTTTCTTCAATTATAGTCACCAGAACTAGACACAATATTCTCCTGGTGATCACAGCAGTGTCAAAACATGTTGAGTGCTTTTACTCAATATGTGCCTCTTCCATGTCCAAGGATGCCATTAGCTCCTTTGGCCACAGCTTCACAGTGGAAATTTGTGTTCAGCTATCATGATCCTAAAGGCTCCTTTAGAGATGCTGTTTTGTGAGTCTCCCATCCTAAAACTATAGCATACACTTTTCCCCACTTAATTGAATTATGTGCTCCTGACATAAATACACTGATTTAACATACCTGTGTCATTCAGTGACACAACATAGGGTGAGGGAGAAGGGAAAGGAAGATTGGAATGACACCTCAGATCAACCAGGCCGATAAATGTTACATACTTGTCATGAGGTTGCCCTTGGGCAAGTCAGTTCTTGCAGGGTCATGAATTAATGCGTTATTTAGCAACGCTGTTACTCACTCTAGCAGCCTGCTGCTTGCTGTGGCAAGGTTTGTCCATGGCACTCCAGGAGGGGATCTTTGGCCACTTCTCACATCTGCATGTCCCGCTGCCCATAGAATTGGGATTGATGGAGGCTCTAGGAGGAATCTGAGCAGGACAACTGAAAGAGATGAAAGGGAGCAAATTTAAAGTTGTGCTTTTCTCATGGCATTTAATTCTTGAACAAGTATAGTACTTTGTGCAGCTGCATATTCTGATATAAAGCACAGCCTTGGATTTCCTGACTGTGGCACATTTGAATGGTAATCAGGCAGTCATGGGGCACAGTCTGCTCTTGGTGTTGTGGCCTAAAAAGAGAAGTAGAATGAGACAGTGAGAATTAAAATAAGAATTTTACATGCTTAATTATGCTTTAAAATAAGTGATAATCATACATATGTATTCCAGATAATATTAAACCAAATATCTTGTAGATTTTTGAATGTAAAAGAAACAAGACTTGATCAAAATTCCATCACGGCCAATTAAAAATATTCCAGCAAAATCACAGCTTCAGTAATAGGGACTGGTTTGGTATTTGCTGTAAATATCACAGAATCACAGAGTCATTTAGGTTGGAAAAGACTTTTAAGACCATTGTGACCAACCTTAAAGTATCAGTATCAGTAGCACTCATCAACATTAGGTTAGGACAAGAACACAAAGTGTAACCTTAGGATGACTGACACATTTCTCAAGAAATGTAAATGAAACAAATTTCATGGTGTCCTAGTTAGGACAGCTGAGATCAGTTCATCATGGTGGGTGTAACCCAAAACTGTATTCTATAGCCTTCCATGTCATTTCCCAGAAACTAGACTATTGTTGTCAATAGACTATTCGCACCCTCTGCCCATAGAGCCTGACTCCTCAGGCTATAAACTAGGTGTTAAGAGGCCTGTGAGATAGGAGGATGTTTCTGTCCTCACACCCTTTGTGAAACTCCCCGCCCTGAGGGGAGCACTGAACATTCCTGCCTGAACTGGAGGATATATAATCTTGGAGTTTTGGAACATTTTTCAACCCACTCGTGGGATCCAGAGGACGGCTGCATCTCATCGCTCTCAACCAGACTTAGACCACCACTGGACTGCGATCACCAGTTCTGGCCAGACTGCAGCAGCTCTCCCACCAGCAGGTTCTTCCCCTCTCCCTTTACTTTGGACTCAAACAGGGCCCAAGGAACACCACTTTGTTCAGGCCCCAGGGTACTGGGTTACACATTTGGGTTTTTGTGGGTTGAGACCAATTGTTTGTTTGTATTATTGTACTTACTGTATTATTTTAATAAATTGTTATTCTGACTTATAATCTCTCCTTTGAGTTGAGTTCATTCCCCCTGCTGGTTAACTTTTAAACCAGCACACATGGTTAACCTGAAAAGCCTTGCAGGAGGTGGTGTTGATTCCTCAAGATTCAGTGTCTCAAAACATCGAATTTTCTCAATCTCAGTTGATCCCCTCTTGCTTCCTTTTCTCTAAGAGAGAAAAACACAGCAGACTGTAAACTAATGGTAACACAATATACAGTATTCTAGTTTGATGATTTTGTACAGTTTTATATTTCAAACTGTATATTCAGGCTTGTTAAATTTTGAAAGAAAGGTAGTAAAAACCTCCTTGGTGCACTACTTGCATCTAGTATATGGAACAAATTCCTTTCTAAATCAGCTACAAAAATAACAGAACACAGCCCTACATCTGAGAAAGCATCTGCTGCAGCTGCAGGAGTACAGGCCAGAAGGGGGGACTAAGAGGAAAAGAGGGAGGAGTTAAGAGGAGAACACCTTAAATGCAAACCAAAAGCCTGGCTGTGACATTCATAATTTTTTATGGTAATGGAGCTTATTCTCACTGAGCTTTCCTGCAGTTTTGGAATGGGATGTAACTTACAGAATGAGTCCTAAAGTATGAAAAGGAGGGAAAAAAATTAAAGTTACCTGAAACATATATTTGCATTCCCAACAGGAGATCTTTTGAAAAGCCACCCTTTTGTGATATACAGTCACTCCTTAGGAAACGAGGATACTTTAACCATCTGCTTTGTGCAGCTGAGGGATGAGATTCTGAACTAATTATGCCTCATACAAGTAACTTCTGATGCCAGTTATTTACATCAGTTCAGAATGAAGCCTCAACGAGGAAAACATCCCTATTCAAGACAGTGTGTAAACATATGTCAATGTTAATTACTTGCCTAAATTCTCTTTGGAAGGATGCAAACAGATGCTCAATAGCAAGCACAACTGTGAGGGTTGTTCTGAATATAAACACTCGTAAGCCTGTGGGTAAGTGTTTTCTTGAACTGAAACTAGAATTTTATATCCTGTAATTCTACTCAAAACAAAGTACGCATATTGTTCTAATACATAATATCCAATCAAGTTTCACAGAAGAAAACTGGAGTGGCACTGGACAATCTTAAACAGTTTACTTAAAAAATTATTTCTTACCCTTTTGTCATGTTCATAAGAAATGTTTGTCTTTCACAGAATAAACAACCCTTTCTTGTAATTTAATGACCACATCACTTCACAGAATCACAGAATATTCTGTGTTGGAAGGCACTCACAAGAATCATCCAGTCCAGCTCTTAAGTAAATGGCCCATACAGGGTTGGATCCCACAACCTTGGCATTATTAGCATCAAGTTCTAACAAACTCAGCTCATCTCAGGGTCTTGATCTGGGTTATTTTTTATTTCTGTTGTGACTTCTTTAAAAGCAGTTCTTCTAGAATTTTTTTTCTCCATTATACTTCCCTAAAATAACATCACAATTACTTTTATTACTGCTATTAATTAACATAACAACACCAACTATAGAGACTGTAAGATTGTCCTCTATAAGTTTTAAAAAATTTTATAGTAATGCATGTATATAAAGGATGTGTTTAATACTGTTTAAACAAATGAAGTTGTTTAGCTTATTCACTTGGTAGAAACAATCATAGTATACAAAAATTAAGCTACAGATATACTGTAGTTCTAAACAAGACATCTCTGTTACTTTATCGCCTGAGGATCTCTCCTTTTAAAGCCATGCACTCTTTCTGGCAAAGAGCACAGCCTGCTTTATCCACAAATGTATTACATCTGCAGCATGACACAAAAGTCATTACAGCAGCTAAGAGAATAACAACAAAAAAAGAAAACCCTTCTATTTACAGACCAGGAAAACATATCTAGTGCTGACTATCTGTTCCCTGCACTGAAATTTCTCATTTCTTTCTTTCCAATGAAACAAATGCACATTTACGAAACTGTGATATGTAGAAAAGATTAAAAATTAAAAATGTTCTTGCAGGATGTATATATACACATATATTTACATCTAAGTATTTTTTCTTAACCTTGGTAATCATAGAGTAGAAAATGCCAAGAAGGATGAAATCCATCATATCTCTACAAGTCTAATGCAGCTTCAGGTTATCTTACTCAAGTGTGAAGGAAGTAGGTCATGTCCTTTGCTCTGTATTTCTGAGGGTCCAAAGGGAAGCACTGTGCTAAGTACCCCCCTTTGTTATGTTCCTGTTCACTACTGAGAGTCCAGCAGAAAGAGAAAATTTGCATGAGGCTCATCACACTCACTTGATCTATCCACTGAATCCTACCTGAACCCGGAAAGTAGCAAGTATTTCGTAGAAACACCGTGAAGAAGAAAAAGGGGGGTGGGAGGTGGGGGGGGCTTTGCTCATACTCTGCGTGGGTATCTGGCTACGCTGTCTTTGCAAATAAAATATTAGGTTTGATAGAAAATATAAAAATATAACAACCTTGTCATTCCCACAGCGAAGCAGTAAGACCTCCTGTGTTTTTTAAGAGCATATGTGGTTTTGTTTCCTTACACTATGAGACATCCAATCTTTAGCTCCAACCCACTTAAGTTCATGGGACTCATTGGAGTACTGGAGGCCAGGAAAAAGGATAAGTGAGATGGAATTTCAGCTACTTTATTTTAAAGCATTGTTTGCAGGTCTTTTTTCTGGGGTTGCCACTGTGTGATCTTCACAAAATTTCTTAGCCTACTGTTGCTTGAATTAGTCAGAGCAATTGCCTGAACTACCAGGACTGATAACATTACTCATGTGAGATTAGATGTCTAATCCACATCAGCTCTAACACTGTGACCATTGAGAGCTCAGAGAGGACCAGCTGAAGCCACATGGAATGACTACCATCTACTCTTAGTGGGGCTTAGAAAAAAGGCCAAGTACTTCCGTTTCTACTCGTGGAAACACTAACAAAATCATCTCTGGATTTGACAAAGTTGTGCTAAGAAATGAATAGAGACAAAAGGATTTATCACAGTATGTAATTTCATTTAAATATTAGAATGTTATGTTCTTTAAACTGTACATTGCAACACTTATTTATTAATAAACACTATTAAAAATGCAGGGATATAAAATATATCAAATATAAGTTATGAAATAATTAGTAAGTGCCTACAAGTTTTATTAAATCTATTTATAAAATAAAATTATAACTAGAGTTAAATATAAAAGTTAAATTTTTTTCTTGATATGGGAAAAGACACATACTCTTTGTTCTAATGTGTCTGAAAACAATATTCTGTTAAATTTAGGTACTCAGTGTCTTTGGATATGTCCTTGCATAGTAAATGATATACTTGATTACCTTGTGATCTAATAGCATGCCTTCTGCCTCTGTCTGTGGACCTGTGGCAAGCACGTGACCTAATTCTAGGATGCAATAGAAGGTTAAAAACACAGGCTAAAAGAAACACCTAAAAGACTCAAAAAAGCCTATAAAAGTATTACATCCCTTGGTTCTCTGAAGCAGAATACTGAGTATTCAGTCTTTGAGGGAGCAGTTGCTTATATTGCAGCATATATAAGCCACTTCATTACTGGAGTGCTCTGGCTCAAGTTTAAAAAAATGTTATCCAGATTTTGACTTCTCATTACAATTCAAGAGAGAAAAAAATTCCAATCTCTAAAAAAAATCTTGACAGTGAAACTAAAGTACTTCCTGGCCAAATCCACTGCACAATGCTCTTCTTCTTTCGCCTGTGGAAAAGAAATCACAACAGCTGAAATTATACCAAATGAAATGTTCAACTCTTTTTATTTCTGGGGTTTTTTTTTCCATTTTTAAATGAGGTTACGTCTCCAGGAATAAAATATGTCTGTGCAGGCTGCCCTTCCTCTGTGTGTAGACTCACTTTGCTGAGTCAGTTCGTGCTTGCACTGACCACCCGGCTGTGCTGAGGGGATGGATGATCCTTCAGGGCAGAAAGTGCAGAGAGTGGCCTGTGCCGTGTACAAATTTCTGCCTACCTAGAGAATTGCAACCCCCCTTTTTACTGGATGTAGCTCAGTTCCTTCAACTGTGAAATCTAATTTCTCCCTGAAAGAAAATAAAATGCCATGTGGAATTAGCTGTAAACATTTGTTCCATATGATTTGAAGAGACATGAAAGATCTAAGGATCTTTGATTATTTTTCCACGCTTGAAACTGTGCTTGTACCGAGAGTTGTTGCATTTTCTTTGCTTTCTGTAACACAGGGACAAATAAAAAAGGTTTGTTACTCCAACAGATCTTAGAAACAGGACTTGGAAACTTCCCCATGTTTCAGAAAGAGGGCTGTTGTGAGACAGTTCTATTGAGTTCATTGAATCATAGAATATCCTGAGTTGGAACTGATACACAACAATCATCAAGTTCAACTCCTGGGAACAAGCAAAAGGGGCTAGGACATCCTGGAGGCTAGAGGTACTATCTCTAGCATTCTCTAGCTGCTGCTTCTGTTTCCTTCTGTAGTTTGGATGTGGTGGTCACAATAAGCATTTTCTAATGGCAGGCTGTAATGCAGGGTACTCTGGCTCCTTCCCTCCTGGTAACCTTTTTCTTCAGGAGACTGAGCAGATGGAAAACTAAGATGGGAAAGGAGAGCAGTTATGACAGGAGAAGCTTGGAGAAGAACCTGGCTAATTTATGGTGGCTGAGGAAATAGCCATGTCAAAAGCATGATTCTTCACTCAGCTCAAAATGCTGGCAAGGTGGAGTTCCTGACTCTGAAAGACACAGAAACATGTCCTCCACCCAGATGAAGTAAACAAACTCGTTGGGAAGTGCTTGTCATTGTGGCTTGGCTCTATATCCTCAACAACATGAGGCAGCAAGGGTAGTCTGGGGAGGGTGTGTGTGTGGTTGTAGAGGGACCAAGGCAGGATGGTGGGGTGTGGTGGGCTAGGGCAGAGCAGGGATAGTGACAGCCCTGGTGGAGAAGTCTGGACAGCAGGGAGCAGTGTAGGGTGGGGAAGATGGGAGAGAAGACGAGCTAGTTACAGGAGCAGCTGTCTACAGCAGGCAGGGGCTGTGGGTGGGGGTAAAGGCAGGGCCATGGGCATCTGGTGGGCAAGTAACACAGTCCTGGGTTAGGCAACTGGCTGGGCAGAAGTGGGGGTCAAAGCAGGCAGGAGAGGCATCAAGCAAAGGGCACTTGTCAGTCAGGACAAGCTGTTGCAGAACTAGAATACTCTCATTCTGCTAAGTGGGCATCGTTGAGGAAAAAGACTCCACAATCTCCCTCCACCCCTGCCCCTCAGGCAGGCCTACTGGTGTGAGGACCCCTCAGCAAGCTGTGTTGGCATTCCCTGTACTAAATATGGCCAAAGACCACTTCATTTCATAGAAATACCCTCTATTTTTACTATACCTTTTATCATTAATGCCTTTTACAGGCATTCTTCCATGCAATTTCAGAGAGATGTTTTTCCTTCATTTCAGGTGAACTATTTCAGCTCAGTGAGCTGTTCATTCAGAGCTCTGAAACAACACAGAATTTGGAATAATACAAATTTTCTTTCCAGTTTCAAATAAAGTAGATGTAGAGGGCAAGAGCTACTAATTGTATAACTTTCAAGTCGTGGATAGACATGCAAAACCAATCATCTCTACTTACTTACAAATTCTATTAGCCTTCCTGGTGAGCCATAAAATTTAAGTTTGAATGTTTTGATAAACTGACCTTTTTACAATCCACCACACTCAAAATACAATTTAGTTAATTAAACAAGTTGCAAAGCACTATCTTGGTGTTTATAATTTATGATTAAGGTGATTCTAACTCAGTGCATAAAAAGCTATCTGAAATGAGACAAGCAATCTATTTTAATATGACAAAATGTAAACATAAAAAGTTCAAATGCATTTCCATCAAACCATAGTATTTAAATCTCGATATTTATAATGCATCCTTTTGCTATTCATTTTAAGAAGTCATATTTAGGCTAAGGGATGGAACAGTTTTCTGACCCTGCTGTAATGGAAACCAGTGAAGGAGACAACTGCAGGACACATGGAAAATGTAATAATTCTAATCTTTTCTGTCTTCTAATTTTAGAACCTAATTTTAAATGGTGCTTTAAATTATCCTGCATTTCAGCCCTTGCTTTTCAGTCAAAAGGGCATTGTGTATCTTTCCTCACATTACAAGACGTGCAAAATTATACTTACTATTTTGTACATTAAATGGCAGTCTAATTTCACTCCATACAGCAAATTTATGTTCCCCCACTTCCCCTGAAGCTCTCTCGTTCCATCAATCTTTTTTCTGTGCCATTAAAAAACTGCTGAGGGACAGAACTTTATGTATACAGGATAAAAAACCAAAACTACTTTTTTGGGGCACGTCACAATAATTAATTGTTTATAAAGGGGATATTAGTGGAATCTAGACTCAAATCCCTTAAAATATGATCACCAAAGTGTGTTTAAACATGGATTTCATTTACCATGGTTTAGGATTAGCCATTTGTTTTCTATGTACCAGCTAACTTCTATGTGAAGTGGGATATTATTCCATAGGGTGACAAATTGCAATCCTACTTGTTCATGTCGTGATGCAGCTGCCCACAGATGGACCTATACTTTGAGCAAGAGGTTGAATTCAATGACTCCTAAAAGTGTCTTTCAAAACTAGACTATTCTGTGCCTGGTTTTGATTGTTGCCAACATTATGCAAACATTATGCAGGAATAGGTGAAAGTCTGTTTTCTTATTTGAAGATCTCATCAGCCCTGCACATGGTGGCATAAAGCTGCAGCTGAGGTCCAGACCTCTCCTACAGACATTTTAGGAAGCAAGTCCATGTTACTGTCATTTGAGCACTACTTTACTGTTTCTGTGACCTGAGTTCCCTCTGAAAGAAGTATGGACTTAATATATGTAAATTGCATAATCTGTAATCCTGATAATGTCTTTAGATCACTGAGGTTTCATAGTATTTTTTAAGCAGTCACTTACTTAGACAAGTAAAGTTAACAATGTAAATTATATACATTTGTAATATATATATCAGGTAAGAAATAATTTCTTCATATTATTGCCAAGCAATCAAAGTATCTGTCAGGTATCAAATGACTGTAAGATTAAAAACAAAGATAGATTTAAGGCTTATTTTTTTTTATCACCTTCGGATCTCTTTAAATATTTTTACACAAACTTGAAAGCTAGTTTTAGCATAATGAGAACTGGTTATTTTCACATACTTACCTGCTGGCTGGCAGTGACATAGCTCTGTGGCCAAGGCCCTGGAGTTCCTGGTGGGCAGCAATGAATATGACTTGAGGGGAGGGGAGGGAAGGAGAGGGAAGGGATGGAGAGGGGAGGGGAAGTTTTGGGGAAACTAGTTCCATTCTTCATATATGAAATTAATCAGATATTAAATATTAAAAGTTATTCCTAGGGAAGGTGGAGGCAGTCTTCAAAAAGATGCAGAACGACAGAGCAAGAGGCAACAGAGAAGTTGCCTCAGAAATTCTGTCAGTATTAAGGAAAAAATACTTTACTGCCTGAAGAATTATTAATGAAGTTCTCCAGTGTCATGCTGGATTCTGCTTTGCTGGAAACAGCCAGGATACGTGCAGAGCTATTCTTTCTCGCAGGAGCTGGGACTCGGGAGGTGCCTCCCAGCCAGACTGTGTTTCTCAGGAGAGCCAGAAGGTGGCACGGCTCAACAGCAGGAACAGTCCGCAGGCTGCACGAAGGGTTGTTATGTACTGGAATAAATGCTGGAAAAACATGTTGATTTAGGGAAAAGGGGCTCAGTAAGAACCAATTCTAGTTCAGAGAGGGTTACTCAGCATAATTTATGAAAAGAGTTTATTTTTTGGATAATTTTGTATTAAGAGTGTGTCCTGTGCCCGTGTGCCCAAGCCAGGTAACACCACCCTGTTCTGGTAGCCCTTCCTGGCACAGAGTTACCCTGCAGCTTAGTGGTGTTTTCCCCAGCTTTCCTCTTCTGACAGGAAGGCTATTTGACCAGTTAAGGAGCACCTTAACAGCACCTGTAAGTGCTTTATAGGTAGGCAGTTTCAGCATATTGTGTAATGCATATGTTGAACGAATGAAAAACGTGACCTTCCAACACAGCAGGGACACTAAAGGCTGCTCCTCAGACAGTTGCATCACTGGTGACCAACAGAACCAGAGGAGTACTGTACTCTGACAGAAGCCATGAATATATCAAAACCAATGTAACAAAATAGACTATTTCTGTCGATGTAAAAGAATTCTGGTTGAGTAATATTTGCCTTAGTAAACAGAAGTGGATGAAAAAAAGTGAGGGATCACAATGTACCTTGTTCAGGTACATCCTGAATGTTGGAGCTGGAAGGTTTTCCCAAGATCTTGTCAGCTTGTGTGTATGCATTACCTTAATCTCAGGAGGAGCTCAAGGAAATGAGCAGTCATGTAATGTAAACGGTTTTTATAAGCTGATGACTACTTGCACCTGAAGGCTTTGGGATTACTGTCAGTTTAAAAATCTTAGCTGAGTGCTTGGAGTAAAAGCTGATTAATCTTTTTAGTGTTGGATTTATAGTATTGAAATGCCATTGCTCCAAATTACAGGACAAAGAGGCAGGTCCAAACGGAACAGTTTGAAGATTCTTAATATGATGAAGTAGAATATATTTGTATGAATGTTTAAGGGGAACAATCTGAACTGTCAGAAGTGGTATTTGATGGATTAATGGTGGCAATGGGGTAAATTTGATGAAACTTGTTTAAAAAAAATTCAGAAAAAAATTTCAAAGGACTTAGTGTTTGCCCTGGAAGCCCACAGGGGTCAGAATACTAATTTTGAAGAGTGGGAGGAAAAAGAGCACCTTTCCTTAAGTTACTTCTTAGCCACTTTTGGGAGAGATTTTGAAACATGGTCCTGTGGAGCTTGTTTTGCTGTAGGCTGCAGAGAATTCAGGGTGGTTTCTTCTGGTCTTTGAAACTGCTTCTCTGAAATATGTACTGGATTAAGAGATGAAACCAAAACCTCTCCAAAGAATTAGTTTATTACCACTACATTGCCAGTCTTTCTCACTGGCCAGTAGTTGTCTGGGTACTGGAACTGGTGGAAAAGGATGAATGTAATGGGTCTCCCCATTTGCTTGGAGTAGGCAACAAAGCTTTAGTTCAAACTTTTACTCACAGTGAGGCAGAGAAAGTGAGTGAGATGCACTCCTCTGTAAAGGTGCCAAGACTGTGCTATGGGAGGACATCAGAGAGATTTCAGGGCTGTTTCTATGTCCACATGAGTTTAGCCTTGTATAAAATGCCCACAATGACTAGCTGACAAGGACTGTGTCCGGGTTTTTTAATGTTACTTTTGCCAAAATCACTATTTTTAAAGTTTTGCATTAACAGAAATGGATTTTTGTTTTTGTTTAGCCACAAAACTGGGGATCTTGCATCTTGGAAACACCATAACTGAATTCATGTGGTGCTTCTCAGCAAAAGTAATTAGCTTACGAATAGTGAGGTTCTGATATAACTACATTGCTGCTTGTTCTGGAGCTCATTTATTGTGTGACAGTTTGAGGATCTCTGTGCCATACTCCACTGCACAGTGTAAGGGTGCCCTCAGTCATCCTAATGTCTTCCTTATGTCTTGCTCATGCTTTCACTTTGATAAAAAATTACTGCTTCTGTTCCTCTTAATGTTTAGCGCTTACTGAGTTCAGCAGACAAGGTGGGGCTTCAAAATTCAGTCAGTTAAATTAATTGATGGAAATTTACAGCAGCAGACGTTGTCTGGTGGCCAGAAATGAAGGTGAAATGGAGAAGAACAGAACATTTCAGTCTAGCTTCATCATGGGAGTAGAGTCGGGTCACTTAACAGCCATGTGCTGAAGTAGGAAGCTCTTTGCCCTGGGGGTGTTGGAATTTCAAAAGGTTTGTTTGTCATCAGCTTGATAATGTCAGAGCTCTGACACCAAGATCCAGCCATAGCAAAGGGTCATGCAGAGTAACATATGGTTATTTTCAGTCTAAATTGCCTTAAATGTAAAACCAATGCCATTAAATAAGGCTCAGAGTGAGGACAGAAAAGGGAGAGGAGGGGAAATACTATATATCCTCAGACATGTGATTCAGAGCACAGGAAACACACTCATTGTGCATACATACACTCTTTCTGTGGTATATGTGTCCATCTTTCCACCTTCCCATAAGGATGGCAGTACATGTGCACAGCAGCAGCCCTTTCTAGAGGAAGAAAAAAGTGTTAATCTGTCCTTTAACTTATCCGTGTTTTCTTGATCTTTAAACTGTGTGAAATGACAAAGTAATTGAAAGGCCTTGGATGTGCTCTCTGTTTACTGAAATGAATCTCTGGATCTGCACTTCGTACAGGCAGGATACTGGTGTAATCTGTATAAATGAAGGAATGCTGATGTCTGAGTAAAAATGCTTAAAGAGCTCAGAGTTAGGCTCAGGGTTTCTCAGTGCTAAGCAGTGTATAACCACAGAGGTAGGCCAACAGAGCTCTTACTCCTAAAACCACACAAGGAACTCCATTATTGCTCCATTATTGCTCTACAAAGTGCTCTGTCTTATTCCTGGAGTGCTGGTTTTGCTCCATTCCTTTATGAAACACAAGTTGAAAAGTTTAAAAGCTTAGATTTCAATTTATGGTATTCATGTTTTTCCAGACTTTCTGTGCATGTTAACAATCAAATTTTGTCATTCTTGTTGACTCTCCCTGGACTACATCAATGTCCTTTCTCTGAAAGGCTGCCAAATATTTCACAGAGGATTAAAAATATTTTAAAAGAATAAGATTTAATTCTCCCTTCTTGTTTATTTGTAGTCATTTGTTCTTGTTGATGGTTTCATGAGTCTTCCTCACAGCCAGACCATCCCTATGTATTTGTGTAATATAAGGGGTTCAGCTTTCACGATGTGTGCAGCAAATTTAGGAAGCAATTCTGCAGTTAGATTCAAATTCTAAATTAGGTTCATTAGGTATAAACCCATATAAAGATAAGGCATGAAAATGTGCTGAATCTCATACAAACGAAAACTACATAGTGCTGCACATTGTTGTTGATGAGGTTTGAAAGAAAGTGCAACATCCCACTAGCTGGCTTATTTGAATTTGATTTGTGTTTGAGAGTTGAAAGTAAGTTGCATAATGGCTTTGTTGAACCAAAATATTTGCATTTATAAGTCCATCCTCTGAAAGAATTCCTGCCATATTCTTCATTGCACGTGTTCCAACCATAATGCTGAAATACATGGAATTAGTACTTAGAACAAAAATGACTTTTATGACCTATTCTGAGTCAAATCTGAGCCTTATGACTCAGAGCAGTGAAACTGTGAAAGATATATTGAGCAAGGGACCAGTCACTAATGTATCAGGCCATGCATTCTTTGTATCCAAGACAACCTTAGTTATTCAGATATGTCTGCTTTATTTGAAGGGCTGCAGGAAGGTTAAATGTTAAAGCTCAAGATTCTGAGATAATAACAAGAAAAAAAATCTAGGAAGGGTTTCTTGGGTTTATTTTTAACTACCAGAAAGTATAGTGGAATTGTGTGATCTCTTCCCACCATA